TACATCTCCTACAACAATAAATATTCATTAATATTTAATAATATTGATATAGACGTTATTCAAGTGTCGTCTATATTTTACATCTCCTACAACAAAAAATATTCATTAATATTTAATAATATTGATATAGACCTTATTCAAGTGTCGTCTATATTTTACATCTCCAATTCCCTGCAACAATAAATATTCATTAATATTTAATAATATTGATATAGACCTTATTCAAGTGTCGTCTATATTTCACATCTCCAATACCCTACAACAATAAATATTCATTAATATTTAATAATATTGATATAGACCTTATTCAAGTGTCGTCTATATTTCACATCTCCCTACAACAAAAAATATTCATTAATATTTAATAATATTGATATAGACCTTATTCAAGTGTCGTCTATATTTCACATCTCCCTACAACAATAAATATTCATTAATATTTAATAATATTGATATAGACCTTATTCAAGTGTCGTCTATATTTCACATCTCCCTACAACAAGAAATATTCATTAATATTTAATAATATTGATATAGACCTTATTCAAGTGTCGTCTATATTTTACATCTCCAATACCCTACAACAATAAATATTCATTAATATTTAATAATATTGATATAGACCTTATTCAAGTGTCGTCTATATTTCACATCTCCAATACCCTGCAACAATAAATATTCATTAATATTTAATAATATTGATATAGACCTTATTCAAGTGTCGTCTATATTTTACATCTCCTACAACAAAAAATATTCATTAATATTTAATAACATTGATATAGACCTTATTCAAGTGTCGACTATATTTTACATCTCCCATACCCTACAACAATAAATATTCATTAATATTTAATAATATTGATATAGACCTTATTCAAGTGTCGTCTATATTTTACATCTCCCATACCCTACAACAATAAATATTCATTAATATTTAATAATATTGATATAGACCTTATTCAAGTGTCGTCTATATTTTACATCTCCAATACCCTACAACAATAAATATTCATTAATATTTAATAATATTGATATAGACCTTATTCAAGTGTCGTCTGTATTTTACATCTCCAATACCCTGCAACAATAAATATTCATTAATATTTAATAACATTGATATAGACCTTATTCAAGTGTCGTCTATATTTTACATCTCCAATACCCTACAACAATAAATATTCATTAATATTTAATAATATTGATAAAGACCTTATTCAAGTGTCGTCTATATTTTACATCTCCAATACCCTACAACAATAAATATTCATTAATATTTAATAATATTGATATAGACCTTATTCAAGTGTCGTCTGTATTTTACATCTCCAATACCCTGCAACAATAAATATTCATTAATATTTAATAATATTGATATAGACCTTATTCAAGTGTCGTCTATATTTCACATCTCCAATACCCTACAACAAAAAATATTCATTAATATTTAATAATATTGATATAGACCTTATTCAAGTGTCGTCTATATTTCACATCTCCTACAACAAAAAATATTCATTAATATTTAATAATATTGATATAGACCTTATTCAAGTGTCGTCTATATTTCACATCTCCAATACCCTGCAAC